ATTGATTCTTCGTGACTTTTTCGCCAAAAATGAAATCCATATCGTTCCACAACCATCGTATTCACACCGTGCGACTTCTGATTATTCCCTAAACCACTCCGGAGACACCGTTTTGAGTCGAGATTCGACGTAAATCGCCGCGCGCTTTGAAGGCCATCCCTGCCGATGACTTTTTAGCATGCATTGAGGATTGGAAAAAAAAAATGGCATAAGTGCATTGTGTCCGGAGGAGATTACTTTGAAGGCATTGAAATAAATTTGGAAGTATAAATAAAGAGTTTTTGAAAAAAAAACAATTGGTCTTACTTTTTGGGCACAGTAGTATATGAAATGCAACAAACTTAACTAGAAAAAAAAATCAAGCTAACACATGCTTTATGATCACAATGAATTTTTCCAAGATTTCGAAAAGTACAACCAGAGACAAGCCTAGCCATAAACCAAAGTTATTACCCATGCAACTCAAAAGATCGGTTACTGTCCAAACAGGTCGCTGTTGATAGATATGCCTTTCTAAGCTTGAATAAAAAATATTTAATGTAAGGTAATTGTATTTAAAAAGGAATTTTACGTATTCTGGCGAGTCTTGATTGATAGGTAACAAGAGAGATTTTGAAAGAAGTTCGTTGTAATAAATAGAACTGCATGGTAAAGCGCAATTGCATGTATAGGCGTGTTTGGACATGCTGTCCAAAACGCCATTCAGACAACAGACTTCTTTTTTGCTTGTCAAATTACAGCGATTCAAATCATTCATGGTCTCTAATGTCTGATCAATACATCCGCATGTGTCATAGTTTTTTATTTGAATACATGAACGAATACAATTATTCCGATTTGTCATGTAAGCATTTGTTTGAGTACTATAATCCAGACATTTGTCTTTATAAGGAGCTGGCAGTCTCTGATGGACAGTTTGTTTCAAAGATATTGATATCTGGCTACCAGGACCGATAATATATCCTTCTTCCTCTAAATCTGGACTATCTTTCGGATCATGGATAACCACTTTGGCTCCGAGAGTGTGAGTTGTATCTAAGTAGTACTGGAGGTTAAGTCTAAATTTTAATATGAGACCGCTTCCAAATCCAGTTTCTGAAATTCTCAGTGTCTCTTCTCCTTTAAGTTTTTTATTAAACGAAATGCAATTACCGTATCGCAAATCACTGAAGTTGGTGAGATGGATTGAAGAACAACGTCTATTATTAAATGAACATTCATCCAAGAATTCACTTGTGTTTATTCCAAGAAATAAACGTTGTTCATCAGATATAGTGTAGTATTCCGTTAGAAATTTTAAACGCTTCTCCTTCTTTTTATTCACTGCAAATGTGCCATTATTATAACGATTGCAATTTTGCAAGCTTCTTCGCTCGGAAAATATCAGCTTAATATCTGGAGATAATTTGATAGATTCCTCTGACCATGCATTTATTCCACTTTTCATTGGATTTAGATTACAGACAGATACTGCAGGGAACTCCAAGCTGTCTTTCCAATCTATTTCAAAACTTACAACGACAGGGTACTGCCAGAACAAATAACAAAACGCGTATATCTTGTAGACACTTAAAGTAAAACAGATAATTAATACCAATAGCCAAAATATTTTGCCAAGAGAAAATGGAGAGTCGTCTATTTTGGAAACGGCATAAATAGAAGAATTTCTAAGCAATTTAGAAGTACTTGCAGTTTTTCTGTTTTGTTTAAATTCATAGACATATTTTCGTTGCTGTAAATCACTCTTCTTCGGTCTTTTTGAAGAAGATCTTTAGTGATTAAGTCCATTACAATTTGCTCCCATATGTTGTGTTGACATCGTATTTGTTATACAAAGTGTATACCTTGAGCTTTAATTTAAATTATTCTGAAAATGCACAAATAATGGCAACTATTTTTGTGATTATTTATCGAAAAGTTTATCAATAATCATGAGTAATGTTGAATCTCAGAATTGTTCATATTATTCGGCGCCTTCTTCCTTCAAGAATGATGGTGTACTTTAATAAAATGACGAATAGTTTAGACAATCTTTTATACAAGCAGTGTTATCCAAAACTAAAATGAAGCATCCCCTGCAGTCACCATTTCACCTTAAAACTAAAATTGTACCATGTTATGTAGCAAATCATAACAATGGATGAATGATAAAGAGGGCAATTGTGCTTCGATTATGCTAAATTCCATTTAGAATGCTACAGTAAGTTATGCATGAGACTCGTATTGATGAAATAACTGTGTCTTAATAATCTTCTAATATGAAATTCTCTATTGTTACATCTGATATGAGTTCTATATAGAAAAGTATGGCCTGTATGATATGAGATTCATATTCACCACCAGTTTCTCTAGCAAAATACACACATTCTTTTGGGGACAAAATGGTATAATATTTAAAATAAACACTCTTTTAATCTTGTATAATCCCATATTTCTTCGGAATTGCATGCTAAAAGGAAGCCTATCTATTATAAATGAAATTATTATTGATTAGATTCTGTAATCATCATATACAGTTGTAGTAGTAATAATGGAAAATATTTTAGTTACAGTTATGTAAGATTGAAATTCAATTTCAATAACTATAATCCATATTAGTTTTGAATATGTAACATAGATTTTCATAATAAGTTTTAAATAACTTTCATAAAACAAATTGATTTTTTTCGTTAATTCGAAATTAAACAAAGCAATTTTACTCAAATTCGATGCATTATTTATTAGATAATTAAGTTTCTTATTTACAATATCAGTGGTGTTGCCTGTCACCATGATGGTATCCAAAACAGAATATTTAAAATTTCAAAACATGTCGGAAAATTTTCATAATGATGGTAAATTTAAAATTGCTATATTTTTCTGCTAACAGTAATTAAGTTTGTGCATGAATTTCATCTCTTAAGTATTCACAAATATTTTTTTAATTTTACGATATTTTTTTTATTTTAGATTTTTTTCATTGTCTTCGTTTCAAATATAATTTGATGTATGCAATAAATTATTGATGTATATAATTATTGCAATGATGTATGTATGATTTTAAAATCATATTAATGCATATAAATTATATAGTTATATACGAAATACGAAAATATAATTTTAATATAATTCAAATTAAATTAAATAAATTTGAAAATAAAATTTCATATGGATTCTATACTATTATAGGTATATTTTACTGACAAAAACAATTATTTCTTTGTAAACAAGACGATATTGAATTTCTATTATTTCTTGCAGAATAATATTATAATTAACTTATTAAATTAAAAAAAAAAAAATTTGGTTGTGTTATAGGCCTGTTTTTAAAAAATAAATCGCATTTTCTTTAGATAAATATCTTCATTACTCGGAAATCATGAATTTTAAATTAGATCGACATTTTAAAATAATAAAAAAATATATGATATCAATAAGAAAAACAAGTAATATAAAAAAAAAAAAAAAAAAAGATTAAATTCAATTCCTAATTTTTTTTACTATATTGCAGAAAAGTCTTTTACAAATAAAGTTGAAATTTTCCTCTTACATATGGCGCCATCTATTATTAGATACATGCAACTTAAATCTAAAAAAAACTAAAATTAATTAATTAAATTTAATTAATGAATTAATATATGAAAAAAACTGTATTAATATCCAGTGTCCTCCACTACAAGTTCAAAAAAATGTATTTAAATGTGAGTGGATAAATAAAAAGTATTTTATTAACGATTGAAAATTTGAACAAGATAAATATAGGGAGAATGTGAACTAATAGTAGGAATTGAAAAAAAAGTACATTGCGGATGAACGAAACCACTTTTACGCCAAGTTAAAATGTCGCCAACTCTTGGCGCTTACGATTTAGAAGCTATCTCGAAGCAAGCGAAGAATGATTCGAAATAAGAATTACAAAAGCAATATAACAGGAAATAAACATCTAAATGCATTGAAAATGGCATGCTGTTAATTAAGTAGATAATACTACAAAGTCTAATTAGAAAAAAAAAATTGAAAAAAGGAGGCAAATATTTTAATACATTTAAAACAAAACAATAAGAAGATTGAAAAGAAAAAAAATTGATTCAGAATAAAATTACACCAATAAATAAAATAAGGAACTACAATAATTTATATTATCTCAAAAAAGATAAAAAAGTAAAGACGAATAAGAATTAATGTAGACAAAAATAAAAATAATAATTGAATGATAATAAATACGAATAAGAATAAGAATAAGAATGAATGTGAAAATAGTTGTAACAAAAAAGAATTCGTGATCCTTCACACAATGAGATCATACGTCCCGCTTTTCGTTAACTTAACTAACAAGATAGGTTGACATATTGATGTGTGGCATATTGATTGGCGGAATAAGTTGATATATTGATTTTGGGCATATTGATGTGTAAAACATGCATAGCGATGTAACGGGACAAAATGTCCTGATTGCAGAAAGCAAATCACACCATAGTGTAATAGAAACAAGTAATATAAAAAAAATTGTTTTAAAGTCAATTCCTACTTTTTTCCTCACTATATCTCAGAAAGTCCTTTATAAATAAAGTTGAAATTTTCCTTTTACATCTGGCGCCATCTATTAGTAGATACATGCAACTTTAATCTAAAAAAAATTAATATATGCAACTTAAATATACTAAAATTAATTAATTAAATTTAATTAATGAATTAATATTTGAAAAAACTATATTAACATCAAGTATCATCCACTACAAGTTCAAAAAAATGTATTTGAATTTGAGTGGAGGAATAAAAAGTATTTTATGAACGATTAAAAATTTGAACAAGATATATATAGCGAGTATGGGAACTAATAGTAGGAAGTGAAAAAAGCCACTAAAAATAAAAAAAATAACGAAAGTGTTGCCATGATGGCATGCGCAATACGTCTCACCCATACATAAACCAATCAGAACACTACCAAGTTGCTCAAAGTTGCAAGAAAATGGTTGGAGTGGTGTTAAAAACATAATACTGAAACCTACGTTTGCTGCGCCAACGGCCATACCATGCTGAATATACTGGTTCTCGTTCGATCACTGAAGTCAAGCATTCATCGGGTGCGGTCAGTACTTGGGAGGGTGACCACCTGGGAACACCGCGTGCCGTGGGCATTCAAAATTTTCTTGGATCAAATATTAGAGAGTTTTTGAATACCATATTATAAAAATACGGATTTTTATTATTTTTATAATACGGTATGCAAAAACTCTCTATTATCATGTGCGGTAACTTTAATGCTCATCACCAGGTCTGGAATTGCTCTACAAATAGACCAAGAGGCAACCAACTCTTTAAATTTGCTAATCAAACTGATCTTGATATCATTGCACCTATTACTCCAACAAGATTTGGTTACAACTCAACGTCCACTATAGACCTTGCTCTAATCAAAAATTTCTTGTTTCCATACTACATCACAGTAGATGTTCTGATCAAATTAGTTCAGATCATAATCCTGTTGAAATCTCCTTCAAGTTCAACTACATTCTTCCTCCTGACAATAGTAATATTAATACTAATTGGACACTTTTTACTAATCTGCTCATCGAAAAACATGCTCATCCTTTACCAATCATTAATTCTTCTAATACCCTGGATTTGGAAATCCGTAATTTCACCGATGACCTTTTGGCTGCTCATAAAAACGCTTCAAAACCTTATAACAACAGAAATAATTGGATTCACCCCAACGTCAAAAAGCTTATTAAGATCCGCAACAATGCAAAAAAAGAACTGGTAAACTTCAAGGAATCCCAACGATAAAATTCTTAACAGGATCAATAAAAACATCAGAAAAGCCTTCACAGACTATTCGGTCAAATTATGGAAAGAAAAACTAGAAGACCTACAAACAGATGATGAATCCTTCTGAAATCTTACTAAAAACTTCAAAAGCTCTAAAAGTAAAATTCCTCACTTCAATAGTACCATTTCTACTACAATTAAAGATTTGGATAAGGCTGAACTCATTGCACAAAGATTCGAAAAGCAATTTCAACTTAACCCAATTTCTGATCCTGTCCATGAAAACACGGTGTTGCAAACCATCAATAACTTTTATCAGAACAACTCTGATGATATTATTCCTCCTGCTTCTCCTTCTGATATTACCATCATCATCAAAAACACGAAAATTAAATCGGCACCTGGACTTGATTCCATCTCCAACAAAATTTTGAAAAAGCTTCCCATTATTACTATCAGCAAACTCTGCTATTTCATCAATAAGGTTCTAGAACTCAAACACTTTCACGACTCCTGGAAGACTGCAGCTATCCTGCCCATACTAAAAACTGGAAAAGATACTACGAACCCAGAAAGTTATCGTCCAATTTCTCTTCTTTCAACTCTCAGCAAAATTACAGAATCTATAATCCTAAATAGACTTAACAAATTTGTTGAACCCAATAATATTATTTGTAAAGAACAATTCGGATTCAGAAGGAACCTCTCCACCACCCATCAACTTCTTAGCATTGTGGAATACATCATTTCTGGTTTTCATAATGGTGAATACAATGGGGGAGTTTTTCTAGATATTCAAAAGGCATTTGACAGAGTGTGGATTGAAGGACTCATTTTTAAACTTATTAATCTGAATTTTCCACCGTCGATTTTCAAGCTCATCCCCCCCTACCTTTCTAATAGAACTTTTTCAGGCAAAATCAATAGAAACTATTCCTCAATCAAAAACATCCATGCCGGCACACCTCAAGGAAGCAAAATTTCACCACTACTCTTTTCCATCTTCATGTCTGATATGCCTACTAGATTCAATATCATTACAGCCATTTATGCTGATGATACTGCCATTCTTTGTCGAAACAAAAACCCTAAATATCTTGCCTGCGCATTAAACAAACACCTAAATGACCTTTCTAATTGGTATGAAAAGTGGAAAATTGCTCTTAACATTAACAAAACCGAAGCAGTCTTCTTCAGCAAGAATCAAAAATATAAAAAACCAGCCATTTACCTCAAAAGCCAACTTATCTGTTGGAAATCAGAAACAAAGTATCTTGGAATTTTTCTTCATAAACATCTAAATTGGAATTTTCATTCTAACTATGTCAAACAAAAATACAGAAGAAACATTAGAAGACTCTATCCCATTATAGCAAGAAACTCGAGCATGAGTAGTCATAATAAACTTCTGATTTTCACCTCTATCATCACATCTATTCTTCCTCTCCTCACCTATACTTGTCCGGTATGGGCCTATGCTGCTAATTATAATACTAAAATCTTGGAATCTCAACAAAATATGACTATTAGACAAATAACGAATGCCAACTGGTTCATGAGAAACGCTGATATTCAAAGAGATATCTCACCGCTACGTCTCAAGAAGTACTAGAGAAAACTTTCAGAAATATTCTTCAATAATATTGACAACCACCAACATCTGGCCATTCAAGAGATCGAACAATATGAACCGAACTCTAATTTTAAAAGACCTAGGAATATTTTGCTCTAGCCAACCTAAAATCAATTTTAAAGTGATGGACTTTTTTTTAACCCTCACGATTTACTTTAATCTCTGGGCATTGCCAATGTTTTCATTCTTTTATGTTTGCCACCACCGGAGATGAGGCCCCTGATTGAGTCAGTGAGCTCCAATAATCTTCAACATCTCTATATTTGCTGAGTGCAAATGCAGGTTTGCTCTAAATATGAAAGGAATATTTAGAGCAGTAAACTTTGATTTGTTAAACGTATTTGAATGGGCGAATTTAACAAAAATACCTAATTGAGAAAAAAAATCCAAAGTGTATTGATTAAAAAAGTCTCATTAATTGTAACTAAGAAACAAAAGTGTTTGATAAGTACTTACTTATTTCTAACTACATCGTACCTCAAAAATTGACTGAATACAGCTTTGGAAATATTTCAGATGAAACTCTTGTGTGGAATTGTTCAATTACTTTCATACTAATAATTTGAATCAAATAAACATTCGCCGAATTATCGAATACATTTTATGTCTGGCTGACATTATTAACTTTTTCTTAAAGCAATGTTAACTACCAAAATAAATTTTAAGAAATTTTGCAAAGAGTTACATTCTCTTTTGAAATTAACATCAAAAATACTTCAGCAAATTTCTTCTTCAGAAAAACAAAAGACTTCGTGTTATTTATTCTTACATGTTCTTTCCTGTTATTTTTCTTAATAAATTATAATTATGAAGAAATATACTTTTATTTCCTACATGATGTTAAATAATGTTACAATATTCAATATATCATGTTACCTACAATTAGAAAAGGTCTCATTTCGAGGGAAAAAATAGTCACGTTAAACTTAACATGTATCATTTCTGGGCTAATTTAAACAGTGCAGCGTCATTTCGCATCCTTGTAAGAAAAAAAAGAAAACTATTTTCCTCCAAGTGATTTTTTTTTATTGAGAATGTTTTTATCTTGAAAACATATCATATATTGCAGTATTCATCAAATAGCGTAATCCATGTTAATTTAATTATTAAAATGTACGAAAAAACAATAAAGGTTTCAACGGAAATGGTAAAAATTCAATACATGCCTGGTTTTATTTTGAATGACGAGTAATTACTTTGGGTGAAAATGTGATTTTTACTGACAGGAAATTACTACGAATAAGAAAATTTTACAATTGTGTTTCATATTTTCAGTTTTTAACTCAGTTTATTCCAGTTTTTTTGAAATGATATGGTATGAATATTTAATTAGAGGCGTAATCTGTTGGTTGTTTCCAAGACATATTGATCCATGTACTCTTGTGATTTATATTTCCTATTGAATTGAAAACCAAAATTTAACATATTCAGGTACATTACACTTACTCAGCACAAATTTGTATCAAGTATTTATATGCAAAATAAGTTCTCATGAAAGAACAGCAAAGCAGTTTCGTTCTTATTTACATGCGCAAATATCGAATGTTAGTTTCTTAGTATTTAAAAACTTTTCCTAAGCACAATTAATCATCCGTTAATCACAATCAATTTCAATCACGAATGGTCGCAGTTTATTTCACGGATACAAGTTTTTACCGTTATTTGTAGATAATTCGGCTATTTTTATGCGGTTTAAAAAAAAAAAAAAACACCATTTGTAAGAAGTTGCTCAAGCATTTTGGAAAGAAAATATTAACTGAAAAAATGTTTTTTTTTTTAAGTAATAAAATGTGTTGAGGCGATATCGGATAAATATACGATAAAATTCATGAGAGGTAGAGAGAGATCAAGTTTTAATGATTGTCATATTATAAACAACTGATGCTTGTTGTCCAAATTTCATCATTTACAGATAGCATGATCCTTGCAAAAATGTAAAATGCATTCAGACACTGCTGACTGAAATTCCTTATTATCACTTACTGAACAGAACATGCGTATCTTTCTTCACAATTCCGATTTGCTGTTTATTTTTATTTTAGAAAGCTCCTTGGCTAATATATATATTTTGGGATGCAGTTTTTGTGGCATTGATGAAAACGGAAACGTATACATTTGTTAGCGTTATAAGTTATTATAAAGATTAAATTAAGGTTCAATATTGTCCAGATAGGCCTGGCCTTGAGATGTTCTCCAACTCTGACTGTGATCCAGATTAGATGATACCCCGATGACAAGTGCTTTTTTTTTTTTTTAATATTTCCTAACCAATGATCATCCTCCAATGTTTGGGCTGTAATTTAAAAAAGTTAAAAACAATTCTTTTTTTTTTTTTTTTTTTTTGTTAAACTGCGATCTGTTTGGATTTAATACCCAACTTGAAGCTCTAATAGTCAATCTGCTATTGCAATCGTAATCAATAAGAAGAAACTTCGGTAAACATTTGGAATTGGTAAGTACAATCATGCTTGCGCTTATTTCTAAAAATGTTTGAAATTCTTCCTGTTAAATGTTTTTGCGAACAAATACAAGGTTATCGAAATGGTCTTATATATATATATATATATATATATATAAGACCGGCTTCAAAATAATTAAAATTTGAAAAAAATCATTAATTCTTTTTCTTCTTTACTATTGCATGAGTTTGCAAGTTATTTTATAAAGATTAATTTTATATTAGAAAGGAGTTTTTATTGATGAAGAAAAAATGGTTATTATTACCATA